TGCTCAGTAGCACACGGGAACAATCCGACTGAGTGGACTGTCAGAGTCTTGGTTTGGTATTACTAATGGGTGGAATTTCACAGTGAAGAATTATCACATTATTTCTTTTGTTGGTTTTATGCCGTTTAAATTGCTGAGTAAATTGTTAATCTATGAATCAGCTGATCATAAATTGTGATTAAAACTATCCAGTGATTTTATTCTTAATTGAAAACTATTGTGTGAAACATGTCTATCCAGAGAAGTAACATTCTAAAGATATTATTAAACAATTTAGTTAAAGTCTTTTAAAGCACGAAATTGTATGTCAAGCAATTAAAGTGAATTTGAGAGTATGAGTAAGGCATGCTTTCAAAGCAGTGCTGGTAATTTTTTTTTTTTTAATACCAGGAATCAAACTCAGGACTTTGTGCTTGCCAGGCAAGCGCTTGTGCCACAGAGCTGTATTCCTGGCCCAGCACTGGTAATTTCTTTTTTTTTTTCTGGTACCGAGAATCGAGCTCACGACCTTGCACTTGCCAGGCCAGTGCTGGGCCGCTGAGCTAAATCCCCAGCCCCCAGCACTGGTAATTTCTTAATTTGCAAATCTTATTTTAGGAGTTGGAATAGTTTGAGATTTTGTTTCTATAAGTTTTCTTGTATCCTCTTCAACCACATAAATGCATTGTTTAACAATTAAAAAGCTGGGCTTGATGGCACATGACTGTAATCCCAGCATTTGGGTGGCTGAGGCAGGAAGATTGTCCCAAGTTCGAGGCCAGCCTGGGCTACATAGTGAGTTCAGAGGCAGCCTGAACTATACAGCAAGACCTGTCTCAAAAACAAAAACAAAACCTGTAAGAGTTCATACACTGCGTCAACTTGAGAAGTTTAATTAAGGGACTTAGGTGGGAGCCAGGATCCTTACTTTGTAAACATCCTCATCCTGCATAGGGCATGGAGACTGTGTGAGTAGCCTGCTTACAATATAAGGGAGGAAAAGAGGTTTGTTCTCCCTCCTTTTGCTCTTGCTATTTTTGTTGTCTCCTGCTGCCTTGAACTGTTGCCCCTGGGCCATGCCGCCCTGCTTTGGAGCCAGCTGATTATGGACTCAAACTTCCACAAAGTATGAGCTAACTAAACCTTTCCTTCCTTAATTTGGGGTATTGGGTATTTTGTCTCAGCAATGAGAGAAAAGTAACTGAGATACAAACCAACCAAACAAACAAAAACAATTATAAAGTATAATTTTGGGGAGTCGGGGATATAGCTCAGTGACATAAGTGCCTGCCTGGCAAGCGCAAGGTCATGAGTTCAATTCCTGGTACCAAAAAAAAAAAAAAAAGTATAATTTTTGGTATCTGAGATGCTTACATCTCAGATGAATAAGTAGAAATGGCAAATAAATATAGGAAAAAATATTCAACATCGTTGGTCATTCAAGAGATGCAAATTAAAGCAATGCTAATTAAAGCAATGCTGAGATTTCATTTAACCGCATAAAGAATGGCTGTTGTCGAAATCAATCAATAACAAATACTGGTGGGGCTGTGAGGAAAAGGAACCCTTCCCCACTGTTGGTAGGAGTGTAGACTGGTGCAACCCCTGTGGAAATCAATGTGGAAATTCCTCAAAAAACTAGACCTAGAGGTCCTGTTTGACCCAGCTACTTCCCTTCTTGGTATCTTCCTGAAAGAATTAAAAGCTTCAAACCACAGGGGTATATGTGCACCCATGTTTATAGTGGCACACTTTGAAATAACTAAATCTTGAAAACAGCCCAAAGCCCATCAAGTGGTGAATGGATAAAGATGCAGGGTTTTTTTAATACAATAAAGTACTACTCTCCTATAAAGAAGGATAAGCTTGAGACATTTCTAGGAAAATGGATGCACCTTGAGACCATGATCTTAACTGAAACCAGACACATATGTGTAAATACCATATTATTTCTCTGCTGTGAGAAATCAAAAGTATAAACAAGCCCCAAAATGTATCATAAATATTGTGAAATAGGAAGAAAATGTTCAAATGGGGAGGGAACAAAGGAGGAGGAAGGGATAGGAAAGAAGGGAAAAGTAAAAAAATAAGGAAAGACTGGAAACAAAGCATTTATAACTAGGGAGAAGAGGAGTTGAAAGGGTAGCGGAGTGGGAAAAAAGAAGCAAGTTATATCATGTACAGGTACAAATTCTCTATGATGAATGTGATCATTATGTATATCTAAAATGTGCCAATAAAATCTGATTTTTAAAAAGTGTAATTTTTTAAGGCTTTTGTAAATTTGGTTGAGAAATTGATTGACATAATACTTGTACTCAGAAATAATCTGACCTGCCAGGCGTGGTGGTGCATGCCTGTAATCCCAGCACTCGGGAGGCTGAGGCAGGAGGATCGTTGTGAGCTCGAGGCCAGCCTGGGCTACAAAGTGAGCTCAAGGCCACCCTGAACTGTGTAGCAAGAACTTGTCTCAAAA